AAATAAATGTTGAATAATTAATAATAATAGAATAATATTCATAATTATGAAGCTGCAATACCAATCTCTGGCTGCTAATATTTAATATGTATAAAAAAAAATATTAATGTATTGATGAAATAAGAATATACCATATCGAGCCTGACAAAAACTTATAGGTTAGAGTACGTAGATATGTAAGTAAGGAGACTGCAAAATTGTCTTACTTTGTTGGTATTCTATTAAATAAGTATATCGTATTGCTGTTACCTATACTCATTAATTTTATGCATCATCCTAATGCTCTCATTTTCCAAGTTCATTAACCTTTTATCATTATTTTATTAAATCGACTTACCAAATTAATGTGACTATTGTTGCTGCTGCTGCCRCCGCCGCTGCGCAGCAATGGCACCTCCCACGTGTGCTCCTCCAGATCCAAGGCTTCGGCTCTGCTGCCCCTCATTGGATTCAGATTGCCATTGCCACTCCCATTCCCATTGCTGCTGCTGCTGTTGTTGTTGTTGATGTTGTTGTTGTTGTTGGGGGAGGAGTTATAGTGATATTTGGGATTACCATTTGGCATATGAGTGCTGTTATTCAGTCTTATAAGATTGCTGCTAGGATTGGTATGCTGCTGCTGCTGCTCTTGATGCTGCTTATCATCCCCATAGAGTGAAAAACTCTCATCGTAATCGTCATCGTGCATTGTGGGTGCCAACGCGTTGTCAAGTTTTTGATATTTTGACATTGTTGGCGCTTCTGCTTCTGCTTCTGCTGCTGCTGCTGCCTCTTCTTCTCTTTTCTTGTTTCCACGCGGGAGTTCCTTGTGCAGTGTGTGTGTGTATGCGTGCGTGTGTGTGTGTGTTTCACTTGCTTCGAGCTGTTGGTTCTTTGGGATTTTGCTTATTATCTACATTGCATTTATCATAATTAGTGGGCGCTTGTCATTCTCCGACCATGTTTTGTCATCATTCGCATCATTATTGTCATCATTATTATCATCGTCATTAGTGTCGTTGTTGCTGTTGTCGTTCGCCCGGCGAGCGCTTCATTAGCCGTACTCCAGCCCGTCTCCGGCGTGTCTGCGTGTCTTTTAATATATAATTTTCTGTTGCAAAAATGATTCGAGTATATATTTTTGCTTGAGTTTAAAGAAGTTTCTATATGTGTGTGTGCAGATGTCTGGTATGTATATGTGCGTGTATTTATGTTCACTTATATTGTGTTTACTCGGTTTTTTATTTCACATTTCATTTCATTTCATATACAAATATGTGGAGTGTGATTACTTTGTTTATGAATGCCCTTCCGGTTCACGAGAGCTATTTTAGAATACATTAAGTGTATGGCAGGTGGAGGATAAACACTGCCAGATACTCTAGCATAAGGAGCAGATAAGAAATATAGTATTTAGAGTAGAGTGAGAGAGTATGTTTAGGCAATAGTAGGGTAAGCTTTATTTAAGGTATATATACCTTATATACCCTACTCATCATACAAACTAATATACCCCATTGCCATTTGCCGTACAGCGCATAAATACAAAGCATATGCTCAGCTGGCTTTTAATGAAATTAAACTAATGCCATTTGCTTAAAATCTTACGTACTCAAAGAAAAAGCCATTTGAGCATGAAATATTTGGGCTATAGAAATTATAATCGGCAGATCTAAAAAAAAACATAAATTATAGGAGCAAAATCTTTGGGGGCTATAAATAATCTAGTATATAGTATACAAATGCACTTTAGATTAAAGAAACTACGCAAAGTCATGAACTTGGCAAAGTCAATAATATGAATACCCTATAAAAATGTGAGGTTGTAGACGCACTTTAATAAGAATTGTTTTTACTATACAATTTTTTTTTTTATTATAAATATAATCATAATCATAATATAATCATAATCATAGGAGCGCTAAAAATAATATAGGAATGCGCATATGCCCATTTATACACTATGAATCTTAGTTGAACTTTAGTCGATTTTTTTAACTATTCATAATTGTATCTCAATCGCATTTGGGGTTCTTTGCCCTATTATCTTAGCCGAAAACGTTATGTCGTTTACATGTCTTAAGTGCTTCGCCTATGTTTTCATTTCCACATTGTTGTTTTATCTTTTCGTTTGCTTTGCACTCTCATTCGCATATTTATTGTGTGTCGCTTGCCTTTATATTTGGGCGCTTCGTGTTGAAGATAAGCATTACATTACAATTCCCATGCTGTTGGGGCTATGATTAACTTGTCACACAGTCAGACAGAGAGAGGGCGAGAGCGAGTGAGAGACAGAGACAAAACACATGCTAAAGCAGCGCTGGCAACTAGTGAACAGCAATTAGCACTCGATGTGACAAAATTTTTCGCCTTTTCTGACCACTTCAATCAGTTTTTGAGTCATTTTGTTTTCAGATTAGATAAAATGCCGATAAGACTAAATATTAGATATATATGTGAATATACTTGTGAGTAAATTAAATTTGTAGCAAGAGCTTCAATATATTGAATGTAAACATCAAATACACTTCAGCAAAAAACTAGAGTATTATTTATATACCTACATATATACTGAATATATATATACATAGATACCGTTGGGACCGTTAATGCCCGCTGAGCATTGATAAAATGTACGTGCGCTTGGCACACTTTTGTTGTTGTTGTTATTGTTGCTTGTTGTTGTGGAACTACCCCTAACAGCTCCCCGGAACACTTAGCTAGTTCCAGCTACTAGAAAAGTGATTTGAAAAGAATTTATTGTTGACAGCGTGGCTTCCTTTGTGTCTGTGTGTGTATGTGTGTTTGTTGTGATTTCATTTCAATTTTGTTTTCATGTGATTTCCATTAATAACAGTTTATTTATGGCTGCATTGCATGCGTTTTCTTGTGACGTCTTTTCTTTTCGATTTATAGCTAAATTTGGCTATTTTATTTACTTTAACTTGGGCAACGAGAAGAATTTCAAGCAATTAAAACTTGTTGACGTTTTCTACAAATATACTAATTAATTTATACATAAATACAACAACAGTAACTGTGCATTGCAATTGCGTTTTGTGTTTTGCCTGTTCATTGACCTTCGCAACAGGTTTTTGTTGTTGCTCTTTGTTTTTGCTGATGAGCGGCTTTTTCGATATAACATCGAACTAGTTTGCACCAGCTGCTGCAGCCGGTGTTGCTGCTGTTGTTGTTGTTGTTTGTCTTGCAACTGTTATTATTTGTGCTTAGAAGCTGCACTTGAACCGGCGCACGTGAAGCCGGTCGAACGAGAACACGAGACGGAGAGTGATAAAGCGAGAGAGAGCACGCGCGTTGGCAAGTGCAGCCCAAAGAGAGCGAGCTTACGCGAGCGTAAAGGCACGATTAAGCCGTTATCAGAATCAGCGATAAAGCAAACATGTAAATTAAGCTGTCTGCGTCCCTTTTCAATTCGCACCTTTCACGTGGTTGCTGTTTCTTTTACACAAAGCTTTAGCATTGTCAAAGTTTTTCATATCCCAGTCCCGCTCTCGCTCTCTTCCTTCCGACAGTTTCGCTACGTGTTTACAACGTTAATGACGTGTTGTTGTAGGTCCATTCATTATAATTTGTTTTGTGTGTGTGTTTTTTTTTCTAGGAAATGCGATTTTAATGGCATTTTATTTATAGTGTTATATTCACCAAGGTAAGTAATGCAATGGTTATAAAATCAATGTTTGTGTGCTTTTTTATTCATTTATTTAGCGATTGAACTACCTTTAAATTTCCCTTAATATTTCTATTAAATTTTTGATTTTTTGCAATAATTTACGTTTGAAGTATTTTTTGCTTTTGTCAAGATCGTTAGCGAGGCGTGGGTATTTTTATTGTATTTGTTTTTCCTTTTCTGTTTTAGCGCTTTTGTTTGTGTCACCGTTGCAGACGCGGACGCGCTCGTCGCCAGCGACGCATGAACTTCAACTAACGGCAGCGGCGTCAAAGCCACAGAACAAACGAAGCGACGACAGCCAAGCGGCGCGAGTGTAAAAACAAAGCGTGAGCGAGCGAGCGCGAGAGAATGAGTGCGAATGTGTGCAGCAGAAGAAGAGCGACAATGCGAGCGCGAGTGCGAGTGCGCCGGCAGCTACTACAAATAACTGAGCGTGACAAATGCTTGTAGGTATGTACGTATGTATGCTTGTGTTAATATATCATCTCGCAGCTGGCGCTGATTGCCATTGGCATCCTCTCACACGCTCTCATCTTTAGGCAACTGAGTGCGATTGCTTCCATTTTCCATTTGAGTGCTTTTGCGCTCTSACTCACTCAATTTGTTGAGGACGGTCTGCTCTGTGAATGAAGATCAGTTCGCCGAGACACCTTGCAGGCGACATTTGTATTTTTGTTTAGTTTTGTCTTGTTCTATTATTGTTGTTGGTTTCGTGCGTATATAATTATCGAAAGGTAAATAAATACTCACGCATTATTCATGATCAATTGCATTGAAATGTACAAATGTTTTCATTATCAAATGGGACACAGCAAGGAATGTGCAAGTGTAAACATCCATATGTATATATGCGTAGATATGTAAATACATACATACATATAAAAAGTAAATAAATAAATTGTGCATACATACATAAATACACATTTGTTATTTTTGCATTACGCATTAGCACAATTCAGATGTAAGTATGTGTTGAGTCTTTAAAGTACTGAAGTATTTACAACTGTTGGCATACTTATACTATTTAATATCAGTATATTTGTATGTACGTATTACGTAAAAAATTAATGTTTGTAAAACACTGATACGAGGAATTGAAACCAACGCGTATTTTAACAGAGCAATACATACATACATATATACAGATATAGTATTTTAGTATGTAAAAAAGTATATCCAAATGTATTAATATGCTCCCGCATTATATATGTACATATATAAGCAGCCTGAAATATTATTCATACATATACCATAATTCTTGCGCTTAAAATATAAATATGTATATGTGAATATAGTAGGAAATATGTCTGACTAAACAACTAAAGTGAATCAATTTATGTAAATTAAAAATCTTGTTGGCTCTCTCGCTTATTCTCTCCAAAACGTAAAGCAGACTTCGTTCTTCTTTATATAGTTTTTATTTCCATATCAGTCTTTCAATTGCATTCTTCATTTCAATTCTCTTCCTCTATATTTTTCTTTCTATCTTCAACTCTTTCGTTTTCTATGAGTTTCTTCAATTTCTTAATTTTTTCCCCTTGGATTCTTATTGTTTTATAGCTCCGTCTACCGCTTGCTTCATCAAATACCGTTAAATATATATCGCCTCTCTATGCAATTCTCGTGAATGCAGTGATGCATTCTTTTGTTTTACAGCTTTACAGCTTTCTTATCTGAGCTTACAGCAGTTTAGTACTTAATACGAACTTACATATTTATGCATATGTATGTATGTATATATTTCTCTATCTATTTCCACATACACCTTTAGCACTTGAAGATACTGCAATATTTTTCTTATATTTATCGAAAATAATTCTGGCTTGTCCTTCACTCACATCGAGAGATGTGTCTCATATTTTTTCACTTTTAAGTAAGTGTTGTAAAACGTTTTCATCCACCTCCCCCCTCTTCTCCTTGCCATGAAATAGATATTTTTATTGGCCAATTTCATGAATCGAATTTCTCGCAATGTTTCTCTAAGCCATAAATGAAGCTATTTACCGCAAGAGCTTCACGCTGCTGGCCATGTTACAGAACGATAAGATTTCAATTAATAAGATACACACAGTTTAAATAGACATGGATATAGATGTCGATAGAGATAGCTGGATAGAGAGAGAGAGAGAGAAAGAGAGAGAGAGAGAGAGAGAGAGCGAGAGGGCGAGCATGCTTAAAATGCGTCTTAGGTTACAGACAGGCAATTGCGTTAGTTGAAAATGGCTCTAAGTAGCCAGGATGTTTGCTACAGTATGTTGTTGTCTTCACATCACACCCACACATGCCACGCGCCACATGCCACATGCCACACACATATATACATATACTGTCTGCCACTTGTTTAGCTTTTACACCTTAAACCGCAAGTAAAATCTATTTTTATAGGCAGATAAATAAAAAAAAAAGTAGATAAATTAAATTTCCTTGGAAATTTAACAGCTTTTGGCTAAACTTTGCTCGTCATTTGTAGTA